TAGAGCTGAAACACTGAAGATGAAACACCAAAGATGTCTCTGCAGAGAAGAGTGGAGTGGACCAGACAGGAGCAGGTGCAGCAGAGCAGAAAAGAGCTATCTAGCCAGAGAGGCCTGGCCCCAAGGTGGCCTGGTCCCAGGGCCACCTCACAGGCGTGCTGCTTCATTACTGAGCTGTAACACTATGGAGCTGTTCCATGGTCACGCTGTCTCACAAATAAGCTGTCTGTACTGAATAAAGTTTCCTTCATCACCACATCCCAAATTGGAGATTGATTCCTGGTGGTGTTGAATTGACACGACAATCATCAGTCGACAATACCCAAACATGTTACTTTTGCAATCAGAAGGGGGAAATGTTCTTTATGTCCCTATCTTTTCATCTACTTATGGGAGTCTGTCCCGCAGTTATCTGCACTAAGATTTATATACCAAGATATTTACCGCAGTGTTATTTATAACATAAAAAATAAAAACAATGTAAAGGTCTCATAATAAGAGACTGGGTAAATGTTGTATACACCCAATTCAAATAACAAGCAGAGAAAAATGTTTTCTAAGACTGTTGAATAACATAAAAATCTCATGAAATATTACTTGGAAATTATTTATACGAAGTATATCTGTATAAAAGTATATAAATGAACAAACATGATAGAACATATATCAACTACTGGCACTGGCCATCACTGAACTGTGTAATTATGAAGGACTTTTTCTTTTTTCCTATGCTTTATCTGATTATAAAACAAATACAACTTTTAAAGTTTTCATTTAGGAAAAAAAACAAAACAACCCTCTGGTTTGAACATCTGGGTGGAAGTGGTGTCAATTCCTGTAATGTAGAATTCAGTGGGGACTGCAGGTGAGATGAGCTTAACACTGAGCACACTGTGTCTGTAGCACACCCAGTGGAAGTGTTCAGGAGACAGACAAACATGAGTCTGGAGCTCAAGGGAAGACTTGGCCTGGAGAGAGAATACAGGAATCAAAAGCACGTGATGCTGGTTGAAGCCAAAGTTCTGGGGGAAATCATTCAAGGTGAAGATACAGACTAAAAAGTAAGGAAGCTTTAGGGCTGAACACTGGGGAGTAATAAAATTTAAAAGGTGCACAAAGAAAGACAGCAAAAGTTCTGAGCAGAATACAGAATGGCTGGAAAGGCAGAGTTTAAAAAGCCAAGGAAGAGTAATGTTATAGATGTCAGTGGACGAAAAGTTTCAGGTCGGAGGGAGTGGCCAACAGTGTCAAATGCTGCAGAGAGGTCAGACAGGATTAAGAGTGCCTACCTGATCTACAGCAAAAAGAACACTAAGGACTTTGGCAATGTTTCTGAAGAGAGGTGGGTAGAGAAGCCAGAATGCAGTGAGTCTCTAGGATATGAGAAAGGAGAGACGGTGACTGTACCTTACTCTTTCAGGACTTTGACTATAAAGGGAAGGTTAGAGAGTTGTTTTTCAAAATGGGAAAAAATTCAGTTGATTTATATGCCAAAGAGTTGAAAGAAAAACGCTGAAGATACACCAACATCTCTGCCCTAACAGCAACAGTTGCCTTCTACTCCACTGAGACCATCACAACTGTCGGCACCAAATTCCTCCACTTTCTGCCCAAGATATCAGAGGTTTGTTGTTTGCTGTCTGTCATGATCTTTAGTGTGATCCCTCCTATCCCAGAGGA